CGGAAGCGTCCTCACGGCCACGCGCAGCTCCCTCGGTCACTCTCACCGGGCCGCCACTCCTGCAAGGTAACACTCGCTTGGTTCTTCCGTAAATGGCATTTATTTTAAGGTTATTGTAGGAATAAAGGTTACTTGAAGAAATTGTTTGGTAGAAGGGAATTCCGTTGTCCGCGGTATTCGTTGGTTGGTCTATATAAGTGTGTGAATTAAATATTTATAAGGAAGAGTAAACCACATGGCACCACGTGGGTGACATGTGTAGCAAAGGAATTCCATTTTTTCCTTAGGTTAGTTGCATATTTAGTTTGTTTCCTTATTAGAAAAGCGTTTCGACTTGCGATTCTTACATAATCGAAAGACTGCTCTGCAAATAGAGGAAATTCGGCCACGTATTCGTGAATATCGCAAAGTGTTCCATACTTGCACTCCCAAATAGTTGCTGCCCTTGAATATGCTCGCGATAAGCGTGAATTTGATATCTTCTCACTACTAGGCTGAGACGAATAGTCTCCATCTATTGCATTTAACTTGTGTAAGAAACTGCGTGCATATGCAGGGCTTATCTATGAGTTCTCGATAACTTGGAAATCCTGATGTCATGTGGATAGCTGGCTCACGCCGGCAACTCCACAAGCGACTTTGGAGGCTGCGTGTGTGCAGTCGCACCCTGTCGTGCATCGGAGAGCAACCGGGTCCCCTGGCCTCGGCCAGGTGTGGATCAGGAGCTTGTATATTCCAACACGCCCTTGAGCTTTATGGCTTTGAAAGGAAGTGAAACCATACAAGCCACAATCTTTTTTTTCATGTAGGTCATATCTTTTTTTAAGTGTAAGTACAGCATTAACTTTAGGTATTGCTAGTCTTAACTGTGATCCTAATTGGGTTCATTCTATTTTTCAGATTCTTAACTTCACAATGGAATTGATCTGGAAGTGCAGTGGTGTGGGCAACACTAATTTCAAAAGAACTGGTAAGTAAATATTTCCTAGTCGGCTTTTTTTTGGGCCAGTGCATAACTACCAAGCTGGGCTACAGAAGGCCTTCACTTCAAATCCTCAGTGACCTTTTACTTGCAGTCTTAATGTACTTAACCCAATGCTGCCGGGGAAAATAGATATAAAAAATAATTGAAAATGCGTATTTTTGTGAAATGTCTCTGCACATAGATGGCTCTGCTAGTGCTTAGTCTCCAAAGAAGTCAGATTAGATCTTCATACCTTATCTGATTAGTGGGGGGGGGGGGGAATGCTTTTAATTATACTATGAATATCAATGGTGGTTTTTATTATAAACGGTATAATTACTGTTATCTTGTTTGGCCGTTACTAATTTTTGTAACTACTTTTTGTAAGTCAAAGTAAAGAGTAAACGAGCAAGGCAGTCGGTACTCGTAATTTGCTCATTGGTGACTTGGTACAAGTGTAGCCATCCGTGTAAAAACCTTGACTGTTAAACTCGTTGGGCAGAGCTTGCACATACATGTCACTCCTGTCGGCATTGGGTTAAACTTCTCAAGTCTGAGCGTTATTTTTGTTTAAAACAGCTTGGTATTGGTTAGGGTGAGTAGCCAGGTTTTGGTCACCTGATGCCTCTGTAAAGCTTGTAAAACCTGTTTAAGCTAAAGTTATCAGTAATGAAGTAGTAACTCGAAGCACTGCAAATTCTTAAGTCATAAATAGCACAATGTAAACCTGAACACTGGGTCTAAATATTTGGATGGCCACTGAACCTTGTTTATCAAAGATCTGTACCTGATGTCATGTGGATAGCTGGCTCACGCCGGCAACTCCACAAGCGACTTTGGAGGCTGCGTGTGTGCAGTCGCACCCTGTCGTGCATCAGAGAGCAACCGGGTCCCCTGGCCTCGGCCAGGTGTGGATCAGGAGCTTGTATATTCCAACACACCCTTGAGCCTTACAGCTTTGAAAGGGCGTGAAACCATACAAGCCACAGAATATTCAACTCTTTTGTTAAAGTTTTCATGTCTTGGTTCTGTACCAGTAAATATTAATTGCTTCTTGGTTTCAGATCATGTTCGTGAAGTCGTATTGGATGTGAGGTAGTTCGGGCTTCCTGTTATGGACAAGATGGGTAAGTCTCTCTCCATTTCTTGTTTTTAGTCTTAAATGTCCAGCATAATTTAGAACAGCTAAATTGGACATGGTTAAGCCCTTCTTTGGAATGGCTTGTGAACCTGATGTTGTGGATAGCTGGCTCACGCTGGCAACTCCACAAGCGACTTTGGAGGCTGCTTGCATGCAGTCGCACCCTGTCGTGCATCGGAGAGCAACCAGGTCCCCTGGCCTTGGCCAGGTGTGGATCAGGGGCTTGTATATTCCAACACGCCCTTGAGCTTTACAGCTTTGAAAGGAAGTGAAACCATACAAACCACAAAACCATCTCATTTTCTAAGTTAATGTATTTTTCTTTTCCAGTTATTAATCCTTAATTTCCTTGTTTCAGATGGTATTGTACAAGATGAAATGGGTGGGGAAAAAAGTGCTGTAGCTGTCTTCTTCTGCAGCAGAGGTGAGTCCCCTGGCTTAAGTTGATTGAAAATTGGGAAGGGGGTGGTAAGTTAGGCTTTGAAAATGAAAATTAACTTGATTTCTGTTAAAAGCTAGAACAAAATATATCCTGGTATTTTATCCCCTGCAAGTGAATGCCTTTCCTCATTTAGTTTAAAATATACTAGATTTAATGCAGTGTAGGTGATCCTGCTTTTGCATTTTTCCTGTTTGAAGCTGATCATGATGGATGTTTTATGTATTGGTAATTGATTTTTTTTATGATGAACATGCATTCAGACTAAGATGTTGAAATATTCATGTTGCCTTCCTTCTGATTGTACCTCCATTTATCTAGGGAGAGAAGGTGGCTTTCAAGATATTTAACCCCTTGCCGCCGGGTGACGGCGATACGCGTGTAAACAAATCGCTCGAAAGGTGGCGTGCGGCCAAACCAGCCGGCGGCGCGCCAAAGCGCGGCGAGCCAGTGATTCGGGCTGACGCCCCGTACTCCTGCGCTCAAAGTCGGCGCGCTGCCTTTGTTTGCCAGAGCGTAGAGTTTTATTTTCCTTTAGTACACCCGGCGTCATTGGGTTAATTTTAAAATTTCTTTTTCCAGAAGAAAGTAAACAGATCTGCTGAGTGGCAGCTGTTCTTTTAACCTCTTGCTGCCGGCCATACCTATAGCCGTCATAACAAACGTACTTATGATGAGTACTACTATATGCATCACGACGTGCTAGAGCGAGTCAAGAGGAAAGTTTTACTACACCTAGTAAACTCCCGGGCCAAATGGAAGGATGGTTGAAGTGAAGATTTCGGATGCTGTCATTGAGGGGTTCATGAAGGTATTTTTCAGCTGCAACACAAGTTGGTATGAAGGGAATTGGGTTGTAGAATTTGATGGCTCAAAATAAAGTAGGCTTAGCATGCATTGTTTTGTGCCCGTATTTTTAGTCTTGGTTAACCCAATTCCATTCAAAACTCTTATGATGATTAACATTATTCAGACAAATGTGTTGATATTATATGTTGCCTTCCTTCTGAAATACCCCTTATATCAGTTCCTTCTATGTTTTATTGCATGATATTTAAATACATCCTTTTTCTTTCCAGCCTGTGGACTAGCATGAAATGCTGAAGTTGTCATCAACTGGGTATGTACCTTTTTTTTTTTTTTTTTTTAAGTAACTTGCCCTTGTAATGACAGCATTGAACTTCTAGAGTTGCAGGGGGGAAAAAAAAAAAAAAAAAAAAAAAAAATAGGGATTACATGCCATATTTTTCTTTTTAGTGGAACTTCAAACAACCTCCTCATAGATGTTGGTACTTCAGAGAAGTTCTTGTTGAAAGCAGCCACAAGTAAGTTTTTTATTACACTTTTTTTTTATAATATCTTGTCTTGATGATGACAACCTTGAGCTATTAATGAACATGTATGATTCCGAATGATAGGCCTGATCATGGTTTCTGAACATAAAAATGTACTATGTATGTGCATAGAAGTAATGCAGCCTTTACTCTTACAGGAATTATCCCTGGCTGTGGTATTAACCTGGAGTATACAGCTGTCCAAGAACAAGTCTTGGAGGATCATAATGGGATAAATAAAAGAATGAAATAAATACTCTCTTATTACATCCTAAAACATTTGGAAAGTTAGTCGGTAGAATCTAATCTATAGGCATAGATTTGTCATGGACTCCAGCTGAAACTTAAAGTATATTAATGTGCACTGATTGTAGAGATTTTGCACTTTTGCCATTGATCCAGAATATCTTATCTTAACTGCAGAGATCATTAACTACTGTAAAGTATATATTGTGGTATGACATGAACCCTATACTAGACACTTTTACTTGCCTCCTTATTTGATTGATTATTACATGGGTTAATTTGAATGGTTACTTGATTACCCACTGCCATGTGTACTGCAAATATAAAATAATGCGAGCGCTGAAACATGTGGGGGAGGGTGGAAGGCTAGAACAGTCTTGTCATCTAGATTACAGCCTAGAGAACCAAAATGGATTGGGTACCCATGAAAGCTATGTATCTAGGTGCTAATGAGTAAACCTGCTATCAATATTTCTGATAAGACTTGACAACAGGCTAGGAGACTACCAACCTACTTAACCCGACTCCCTTGCTTGGGGGGGGGGGGGAGTAAGACCAAGGCCCATTTTAGGGGATTGCCCCTACCTTGGCCCTTGCCTCCACTAATTTTGCAAGGTCTTTTCTCACTCCTTTTTCTTTTTAACCCTTTACGATATTGCTGTGTGACCTTTGATGTCTGGTACATTTGACCAAATGCAGTGGGGGGGGGGGATTGCTGTGCTCCTTTTTTTGTGAAACATCTCTGCACATAGATGTCTCTGATAGTGCCTAGCCACAAAGGAGACCATTAGTAGACCTTGTGACCTTACCTAATTTAAATTGGGAGAAACTTTATTTTTGCTAGTGCTATGAATATCATTTTTTTATTAAACCTAAAGTTTTAAACCTAACGCAACTTTCATAAATCAAAGAAAAGGGTAAAAGAGGCAGGCAGAACTCTTAATTGGCTCATTGGTGACTTGGCACAAGTGTATCCAATGTGTAAAAAAACATTAAACCAAGTAACTCTCTCAATGGCACGTACATGCTTTATACCCGTTGGCATTGGGTTAACGATTTACCATTCTGGAAATTCACAAACTTCACCTGAACCTGAGAACTTTTACCTTGGGCTTTGCACCTAAGCCCCAAACCATCAGTTTTGTTTATGGTGCTAATGACATTTTGCTAAATTATCAGTAAATATATAGAATCTAATTTTGGCAATATTGGTGTAGGACTTGTGTTTGACTCTGGGAAGAATAGTGTAGCACTGTACTACCACTATCATAGCCAATGAAGTAGGCAAGCAGGTTGTTTTCCATCTGACCACCCTCCCAATTTCTTGTTCGTTGTTGCCATAGGGAGGCTTATGGGATGGAGGACGAGGTCAAATGTAGGGATGACCTCAACCCTCGCCTCAACTAATTTTCCTTTTCCTTTTCTTTATCCCTTTGTCCCCCTCAATCCCTTGCCCGTTGTTGTCGTAGGGGGGCTTAGGAGGCGGAGACTGGGACCCAATGATGGAACTCCCCAACCTTGGGACTCAGCCCTCGACTCAACTAATTTTGCATGGTCTTTTTTCCCTCCCTACTTTTTTTCCCTTCACCAATCCCTTCTACTATCCACCACCTAAAGGTGCGTTTACATGATCGAAGTATGTTCGACGGACAAAATCGTTATCAACTAGGAGTGGAAAGCGAAAAGGCTCGCTGATGACGTCAGAAGCGAGCACCAAGTGGTGTACCGGACACTGTCCGTGTTCGCAGTATCGAAACGACACACTGTCTGGTGTGGAAGTATACGATGCTGCCAGGCACACGGTGAACAAAGTCACTCGGTTACAGGATTTTCAAAGTCCGTCAGTTCACTAGGTCTCAATTGTCCTGTTAACATGGCCAGCAGGACCTCAGTCAAGGAGAGAGGTTGCCACTGGGACAGAAAAGAGACAGACTTAAATGGCTGAGTTACCAACGGACATCACCTTCGGACGTCACCTTCGGACGTCACCTTCGGACGTCACCTTCGGACGTCACCTTCGGACGTCACCTTCGGACGTCACCTTCGGACGTCACCTTCGGACGTCACCTTCGGACATTGTCCACCGGTCTATGCCCTGTGAGCAGATTCGAAACGGTGGTAAACACCCTCATCTGGTACCACTGCTTGTTGCCAGATCCGCTCCCATCGTTTCACCGCTTATGACGTCATCCTGCTTCTCCTGTGATATGGTAACGATTTTGTCCGTCGAACATACTTCGATCGTGTAAACGCACCTTAAGGTGTGAGAGCCGTGCAGAAAAGATGAAAGGCTGACTTTGCCAGTCCTGAACGGCCTGAGGGAGCCATGGGTATGGTATTCCCCTGATTTAGTTATCTAGCCCTTACCCCTCAAGGGGACCCTGAGGGGTGGACTGTTTTTTATCCCCAACATAAGCCAGGCTTACCATGGCCAGTAATGAAAACATAATACCACTATTAGGGGCAATGAGACTTGCCCCTTTATCAAATAGCCCCAAGATGCAAACCCTCCCGATTCCTTGACCCCAGGCTCTCCTTTGACCATGGCTCCGAACACTGCAACAACTTCATCAATACCTACTAGTACAGTAGCCAACAACCAACCCGAAGACATTTCCACTCTCCCAACATGTTCAACTTCAACACCTCTACCCCCACAACCTCCAACATCAACTATCCCATCCTCTCATATTAATACCTTACAGCCTTACTGCCCACCTCACACT